TCACATTCTTGATGGAAGAACTGCCAATTCGAGGAGAGTTTGAACGCACGGTTTAACATTGTCTTCAGTAGAGAATGTTTATACCTTACGTCAACATGGTTTTGGTAATGCAGTAAAAGCCCAGTATCGGTCGGTTTCACGTAGACCTTCGTATCTAGTTGGGAACCATTTCTGATAACGGTGATTATCAGATACTGGACTTTTACTGCCAGTGAAATCCGTTTCTAAAAAGTTGTTGATTCGAGTCATAAATTGTACTCAATAAATTCTGAACCTTGATTGTGACCGTGGATGTTACTGAACAGTTTACCGTTAGGATTTGCTGCTATGGTGACGCAGCAAATGCAGAGATATTTAACTAGGCACAGGTGTTAGGTTTCGTGCCATTAAGTTTCATAGGTACGCAAAACGTGCAGAGAACGAAACTGAATAACAGGAAATAAGCTTTGGTGCACTTGCCAGACCTTTGTAGACTTTATTAATAACAACATTTTTTTATTTTCTTTAAAAGGGTATGATTGACAGGAAATCGGCCCATCAGGTAGGCGCCTCTCTCTGTGGCATAAAGTGATGGTTTCATTTATCATAATATAAATGGGTGAAGAGAGGCACTGTGGTAGTTACCTAGCCCGGGGCCCCTTTCTCGAAAGTCCCGGTAATTAATGGTCCCTACAAGCTGTCTTTCGTTTGCCGTGTTTACATTCAAGATCGAGATGTTAATAGTTTTAAAATTCAAATAATAAACAATATCAGGAGACGAAACAGAATGGTCTGGCCTTTGAGATAAAACCCGCATTATTTTTCCTTATATTTAGATCTTAAAATATGGCTTCAGGGCCGTAAAGTTACTGGGACTTTCGAGAAAGGGGCCCCCGGACCGTTTGATTAGCAGTCCAATGCACAAAACCAATAAGTCATGTCTTTTTTTTTTATGTCGTACCTTACACAACAATAGAGTGTTTCTGTCGAGGACCAATGAGCTGATAGTTCGAGCACTTAGATGTAGTTTTTTGACATAAAATTTGTAAGAATAATTATCAATCCATAGGCTCGAGACATAAACTCTCTATTTCATTATTGGTCACGACTAAATGGTCTTCATTTTTCCCGTTGCGACATGCCTTAAACTGAAAACAACAATAATTTATTTATGAAAATTTTTAACCGCTATGGAGCGCTTAGGTTTTTCGTATTTTACGTTGCATCCTCGTCAGAAGAGGGTAAATCTACACACGTATGTACAATTTTCTATGACAACTGTTACTACCAAAACGCTTTTTACTTAGCTTTTCTCCACAATCTTGAAACGTTTACCTCTGCGCCCGTTTCAAGTTTTACTGACTCGTAAGTTACGGCGGTTTTCAGTCCCAAAAAAATATTTCCTCGTAGCGCTCTTCAAGCTAAAATCCACATGCAAAAGAAAGCTGTATTTATGATCCACTTTGATGGGTAATCACTATCATCTGATAGTCGCCTGTTGGCGTTCTACCAAACATCAGAAAACCATATCTATATCTGTTCCGAGTAACGAAATATTTCATATATCATAATATTGTATATTTATTTTCTTTTTCCCGGGTTAATTATTGCTCATGTTCATCTGTGCTAAGTTTTTCATATTTGTTTCCGTTAGCCCAAGGTTGTTTTTCACCAGAAGCATACAACACATAAAATGTTCCGCCAACAAGATAAATCGCTCCGTTTATGAAGAAAACCATCCTCCATTCTTTGGCACTCTGATGAAAAAGAAATACAGAATAGAATTAAGAAGGAAAAAACAAACAGGCAAGCAAGTAAACTAGAAATGAAGGAACGAAGAAACGAAGGAACGAAGGAACGAAGGAACGAAGGAACGAAGGAACGAAGGAACGAAGAGACGAAGAGACGAAGAGACGAAGGGACGAAGGGACGAAGGGACGAAGGGAAGAAGAAACGAAGAAACGAAGGAACGAAGGAACGAACGAAAGAAACAGGCTAGTAAGGAAGTAAGGAAAGAAGGAGACAAGCAAAGAAAGAAGAAACAAGGAAAGGGGTCAAGGACACTTCATGCTCTCTTACATGATGTTGAACAATAAATCCCGTCAGTGTGGGGCTAATTATTCCTGACAAAGTACCAGCTGTGTTAGTGACTCCTAACAGAACACTGGCAAAGGCTGGTGCAATGTCCAGATGATTGATCAGAAAGCCTGACTCAGCAAAACCATTCAGACCTATTCCTAAGGTCATCATCATGATGGCAGTCGTGTAGTCAGTTGACGTGACGTATCCTGCCGCGATTGGAAAAACAATCATCGGTAGAAATCCTGCAGAAGGAAAACAAAGATTATAACCTGGTTAAATGGTGTCTGTGTTCTCAACGGGCCATTTCCGAGTTACCTCGTGCCTCGGTTTCAAAACGAGTCCTCGTGCAAAAATGAGTTTGATTTGCATGGACATGAACCTGTAATGGGAATACCTTTTTAAATGAATGGTGTCGCACTCGACTTGACTCGTTTTGACACAGAGGCAAAGGCAACTCGGTAATGGCCTACCCAGAGGATTATGAGATTCCATATTGGTGACTTTGCTTAAGGCAAATTCGTCGGCAGGTATTTTTTGCAGGTTGTAGGTTGCAGGTTGAAACGACTTATTTATTTAAGTTTAGGTCGAATAAACCCCAGTATAAAGGCTAACCGCAAGGAACCTAAGCTAATTTTGGCTAACCGAAGTGCTAAGTAGACTCACGCGGACTTAAAAGTCGAGTTTTCAACCTGCAACCTGCAAAACATACCTGCCCTAAATTCGTCTAGTGGATTGGTCGAATGGGTCGAAGGGCGTCACGAGAAACATTTTTTTTCTCAAGGTAGGGCTCCAAACAACTGAAATAGACGGAGCTGCTCCTAACCCCGGTAGCACGGAAAAAACTCTGTTAATATGTAACCTTGAAAAAATATTTCTGTTAGTCCAAAGAGAAACAAGGGCTTGTTGTTGTTGTTGTTGTTGTTGTTGTTCGATGAATCTGATTAGAGATACAAAATGTACCCTACCTAATGTATTGAAGATCTTCCTTACCGCTCCGGTGCTGAGGAAATACTTACGAAGACAATCTGCAAGTTGCCCTCCAAATACTATTACGAATAGCACAAGAATATATGGTAAGGCCGACGCTGCGGAAGTCTGTAAAGTGCAAAGAGAAAAAATAAAAAGTGCTTAGATGAATGGAAGCATTTAATTTGACTTTTGTTGCACATTACAGACCAACATCATGCATCCTATACTTTATCATTATTTGCAGTTAAGGCCCTGTAGTCTATTCCTGGTACAGCGATGAACTGTTGCAATAAAACACTATGAAATCCAAGATGGGGGATCAAACTTGGCGGATTTGACTGCCAAGTTGCTATGGTTACCTGTTTAAGGTCGAGGTGTAGTCTCTGGTTGAAATATAAAGGCAGCTCTGATATCATGGTGTACAGACCCCAGGTCTGAGTGAAGTGGGCAAGGACAATAGCCCGTAATGGTAAAGAAGAAAATATTGCCTTCCATGGAATAGGTACGTCCTGCAAAAGAAACAAAAGGCAGTGGACCTAGTCTAGGTCTAAAAACTGGCCATGCAGTCACGGATTTTTCCATTTTAGTCTTAAATTGGGTTTATAGGTTTTGTCGAGAAAATAAAGAAAGCGTATTTAGGAAAGTATTAACCATTCGTCATCCTCAAACGAAAAAGAAACAAATTTATCGAGTCACCTAAAATTTGTCATTTATTTGATATAATAAAGTATCATTTTCCTCTTCATTTAAACGCAAACGACCAAGTGTGATTGTTAGACGCCAGATCTGATGAAAACGGGAACGAACAATGAAAACTTTAACGGACAACTAGATGAAGCACTTTCCAGGTCATGTGATAGCATAATGGAATGAAATATTTCCCCGCCTAACCTTTTAGGTCAGTCTTGTCACCCACATAGACTTTTGGCAATGAAGGAAATGTTGCCCCCATACCTTAGTCTGTAAGTCATCTCTTAGACTATTTTCAATGTAACGTAACTCTTTGGCGGGAATCCACGGCTGCTGCGATGGAGAATTCCTTACCAATGTAAACCAGACTACAGACCATAATATGCCACTAATTCCTGCAAAGAGAAGTCGCAAGTTTACTAAAGTAGTTCCAACCTGAACGCGTCAGTTGTATTGCAGCAATGGATAGAGAGGAGAGAGTAGAGAACTGTTAGCCCTTGGATGGGATGCAAGTACATCGCAGGTGAACCCCTCCCACACTCCTCATTCTTAAGTGTTTTGTCAATTTCTCCTACCAGTATCCTTTCTGTTTACACCTGGGAAGAGAGAGGCACTGTGTGAAGAGAGTATCTTGCCCAAAGGACACAACACAATGCCGGACTCAGCTAGGGTTCGAATCTGGGAGTGCTCGATGCCAGTTTCCAACGACTTTAAGGCTGTTTCAGGATTCCCCAAATTACAGGAGCAGGTACGTCACCTCAGCGCTCTCTCTCTCCACGTTAAAGATCAAAACTGAAACAATATTAATAAAATTATCAAATTTGTTCGTTCACTTACCAAAGACGTAAAATATTGAGGACCAACCGACTTTATAGGCCAAGTGGCCTGAAAGGAACATAGAAATGATAATACCCAGTCTTGATCCTGAAAATACAGTAGAGATGTATGTTTCGGTTTATCTTCAGAGACAGACTTGATAATATGATCAATTAATAAGAATAATACAAAATTATTTTATCAATAACGGCCGAGGGAGATAAGCAAAGTATTTGGGGTAATGAGAAATTCTCTTTATGACTTTCCCTAACTGAGACTTTNCCGTATTAAGCGGGTGTCCGTAGAGCGGGGTTCCACTGTACCATGATTGTAGCATCAAGTAGCTTCCAGTGATAAAGAGTGGTTGTAACGAGCCATCAAAATCTGAGTGTTGGAAACTGTTTTGAGCCACCTTGATGTTTCTAGTTTGCCTCCCTTAACCGTTCGATACTGAATTACTAAAATAGAATAATTATACAATTAAAGGGCTCAAATGTGTTTCCTTAAGGACGTTCGCACCCAAAATGTTCCCACGAATATATCTTTTAAAACTTATTATGCAGTAACTTTTGACAAAAAGCCAAAAAAATGGGGGTTCGGTCACCATGCTCGCCAGTTTTCGAGATTAGGCGCGTTGAAGACCATGCGTATTTAGAGATCAGTTTTCGTTACTTTAAGACGAACTTAGCTTCAGACTGTCGGACATAAAAAAGCTACACTAGTGAAATTTAGATAAGGTGAAACGTACTCAATTCATCACAACTAAGTATATTAAGTAAACTTTTGGAGCTGATGTCGTTTCTTGAGGTTAAACAGGGCTAGAAAAAGAATAAATATTAGCCTTGCCAGTCCACATTTGAGGAAAACTTCGCTCACACGAGAGCAGAAAAATGAAATATTTGTAACTTCTCACGAACAGATTTTTCCTGTTTTTTGTTAAAATGGATAAAATCGGAAAAGAAATTGATCTACAGAAAGAAAAGTAGGGGTCATCGAGCACCCAAGAGAGCAAAATGTGGGCGAGGTTCGCGCATCTGGTGTCAACCCCTATACTTGCTTCTATTTCTTTCTTAGCGGACGCGCTTGGTGTATGACATGACTTGACTCTGCGACATGCATTTTGTATGCAGAAAGGATGCGCTGTAACAAAGTGCGCGAACGTCCTTAAGTCCAGTCTTCTCACGAGAGCGGAGCATGTGCCGCATCAATCTTGATGACTGGCAAGAAAATGGAAACTTCTTGATTTTGAGCACCACCGCCAAAGAATCTATAGCAACTTTCGCTACTCTTGCAAGATTGAAAAAGCACCTTTAATGACCTTGATAAGTACCTGCGGGGTTGAGTGTTGCCAATTTACTTCTTTCTAAAGGAGGAGCCCACTGACTCCATAGCGCATGCCCGGCTGGGTATACAAATCCCTAACAAGACAGGAAAAAAATTCCAGCAGAAGGACGAGATTTATAAAAACATGCGAGGATGTGATAAGCATCAATGAATAAAAGAAACAAAGAATCCTATAACACAAATAATAACGAAATAGTCGTGTTCCTTACTTCTGCCATTCCTATTGCAATCCTCAAGGCAATCAAGACCCCAACATGCGCACGCGCAGCTAAAGGTGTCAACAGCGTCAGAGCGCCACTGGTACCCACACTAAGGCCAAGCATGGTGGCGCCGCCAAATTTTCGCGCCAGAACTCCACCTGGTAGCTGAGTCACTATGTAACCATAGTAAAACGCACTGAGAGCTACTCCTGCAAAAAAGAAAAAAAAAAGAAACAGGATTATTCCGGATAAACGTACCGAACAGCTTTTATATTTACAGAATGGCAAAAGGACTGAACGAGCAAGAAAGACGAAGGCTTTCTGAACTTTTTCCGAATGATTCTTAATTTTTCTCAGTTACTGTGTTTGATATCTTTGTTGGTAAAGAAAACTATGCTTTCATAAGAGTTGTTTTGTCAGCGACGGGGAATGCATAAATTCGGAAAAAACGAATACTATCCACGGACTGACAGACAAATGGACGAATTGAAGTAAATCTGGGCCTTACAATCGTTCTATTTGCGGTCTTAAGGTCGGTTTTTCTATACTTTACTATACAGACCGCTCTCGATCAATACCAAATACATATTTCAACTCACCTTGTATTTTTGTACTCCAGGAAAATTCTGCAGGTTCCTACATTTAAGGAATATAAAAAACGACACTTGGGAAATCTTGTTCAATAAATCTTAGCTCATTGCACTCAACTTATTTGGCTCAAACGATTCAGTTAACCAGGACAAACGCTGCAATATTCCGAGCAACGTTGGTGATACAGGCGCGACCTAAATTTAATTATTGTTTTTTGACGCGTTGTGAAACATTTTCTTATAAATGCCAAGTATTTTTGTAGAACACAGATCTGAGATCTATGAATTAAAGGCGTCTACATCTTGGAATGCGTGAAGAAGTTCTTTATGTTTATATTTAAGGACTCCGTGAAAATTGTTGAAATAAACATGAACATCTGTAGTACCGTTTTTCTCCTTTTAGGCATAATCTGAGTTATTTGACGATTGCAGCTAAGTGCAAAGGAAAACGTTGTTCTGCATAAAATGGAGAAGCCACCAACTACGGTTTTAATGCGTAGAAAAACCCCCAGTTTTAAGAAATAGGTGGGACAACAAACGTTAGACAATACCTGGATTTCCTTGCCATCTTGTATAACTGTTTGGTTAGCGACCATAACAGCAATAGCAATACTAAGATTCACTCGCATAGCGTAGATGTTCGCAAATCCGAGAAAACTCAACATGGCTACCATGTAACGCTTCCGAAAGAAACCACAAGGACAAGTCATGTCGGATTGCGTTACTTCCTTGTCGGATTGCGTTATTTCCTTGTCGGATTGCGTTACTTCCTTGTCGTGTGTCATCTTCATGGAATGTGGTTCGTGTCGTTATTACTTTTTTTTCGGGCTTTTCCAGTTTTGTTTCACTTCTTCTTAATCAATTAAACGCCTCTTCACTTCAAATTCTTACGTGCCTTCGGCTGAAATAGGCTGAAACAATATAAGATCACTCAGTAAATAACAAAGGTTAATAGACCACTTGAGATTTTAACAAGTAAATTCTAACCAAGTAGCCTTGGACTGATAAAAGGCCCGATGATATACAAACCTGCACTGTTTGTCCGTTTTAACATTGGAAGGCGATTTCTAGCAAGCCAGTTTTTCACGTTCATTGATATCAAAACTTGTTTTACCTTGAATTAACTGTTAGATATGGGTCTAACTGTTATAATTGATGTTACGTTCCTTTCCGACAGGCCACTTATGTTTATTCAGTAGCTCAAAATGACTTGTTCTCGCTTTCCGATCTGACAGGTTAGGAGCAATATTGACTGTTTTACCCGTTACACAGCACATAGAGAATGCCGGTCATTTTATACAGTGATTTTCCTATATTACTATAGTTTTTCAAAGCATTTTTTGCACTAACGATAACAGTAAAACACGCGAAGACCTTATAATTTCTCGCTTTCTGCTCCTGTTCACCTAAGGTGTGATTTATCGATGAGTCCAGGTTTTAGTTTTTGTTACCCGCGTCGAAGAACAATAAAATTGTGTGTTCTATTGCTTAAAATATTAATGACTCCGGTAAAAGAAAGAAAAAAAATAAATGAATGACCCATTAGCTATGACATAAGTTGTATTATAATATATAGTTAATTTTTTTTTTTCAGTCAGACCATTATATATACAAGTTATGGGAATTTTCTACGAAGAGTGTCGCGTTGACTTAGGGAATTTGTATATGTAAGAAATTTAATGTTTTGCCTACACAAGCGAATATCAAGTTTAACATTTCACTCAGAAGACTCCGTTAATTTTCTTCCTATACCGAGGGTCTTACAGGGGTATTCTCGTGATGCGTGATTAGCTAATTTTATTTTCCGTGAAAGGTGAATTTAGGAAATTATTCTTCGTGACTCGTGACCTGAAGTTTTTGCGTGACCCGTGAAGAACCTGAATTATTAACCGATATTCGTGATTTTACCACTCTATTCTTCGTGATTTTCAGACTCAAGTCCTCCGAATGGTTAGAGTCGTCTACCGAGAGTTTTTCAGTTTTCTATCGAGAGTGAATTAGGTATGCGATTTGCAATACGGAGCCTTGACTTAGCCTTTCGCGATTTTACTTTCTTCAAACACTGCTACTAGTATAAGAACAGGTCATTAAAAAGAGTATCTTACTTGCTTATTTTCGTGATTCGGGAAA